GCCTTATTCTCTCTGGATAGGATTTAACTATTTGAATCTGGTTGGGACTAGGCATTATTTTCTGCTATAGAACTGGGACATTTTACATATATCATGTGATGTCATGACCCTAATTCTTCCCTGTTAATAATAGAGTTCACTAAATTGAGTTTTATGGAGAGGAAAAATTGCATTGTCTTTTTCATTTCATTCCTTTGTAATGCTATATACTTTGTCTTTTCATGTCTGACTGGAACACATTTTGTTCCCTTGCTTGTTTAATTTTTAAGGTTATACACAAACATTTTTACTTGAAAAGAGTTGAGATCATGGCCCAGTGTGAGGAGTGGATTGCCGACATCCAGCAGTACAGCAGTGATAAGCGGGTAGGCAGAACTATGTCACACCATGCAGCAGCTCTCAAGGTGAGTAAGCCTCCGAGCATGAGCCCTGTTGATGGCTTTTAAAGAAGAGTTGTGTATTCATTGACAGAACCATGGCTACCTGATGGTAAAGGATGGGAGGGCCTCAAAGAAATGTAAAATTTAAGTTCAGAGGCATAAATTGCTGCTCAAAAGTCTATTAAAAAGATGGGTTAGCCCTAACTGGTTTGGCTCAGTGGATGGAGCATCGGCCTGCGGACTAAAGGGTCCCAGGTTTGATCCTGGTCAAGGGCATGTACCTTGGTTGTGGGCACATTCCCAGTAGGAGGTGTGCAGGAGGCGGCTGATCGATGTTTCTCTCATTGATTTTTCTGACTCTATCCCTCTCTCTTCCACTCTATAAAAAATCAATAAAATGTTTGTTTTTAAAAAAAGATAGGTTAGTTTCCACGATAAATCAACAGTTCCTAAAATAAAAAAAAAAAATGGGTACAGGACCTGTGTTTTATCCAGGTGATGACAACAAAATGTACTCTATAAGTGAATTTTTTATTCCTTTACCTTTTCCTTAGGCCTCTTACCTTCCAGAATTTTATTACTTGTAGTAATGAGGGAGGGAGATGGTAGCTATAGAGCCTCCAACAGCTAATTGGTGGAGGCATCTGTTATACAGACAGACCTGTTTTGGGGGAGGTGAGCAATTGTTTTCAACCTGGGCATTCATGAAGTGGAAATGTAAAACAGGATGGCTTTGGAGTTTTTTTTTCTCCTGCCTCATAATATTTGTTCTTATTCCCCGTTTCTTTCATCCTCCACCAGTTATCTTCCCTCTTCCTATCTTCAGTTTTCTCCATCTCAACTGGCTCCTTCCGTTCTAACTTTATTTTTCTATTTTAAAAACTTCTAAAAAGAAAATTATTTTCCTCTTTAACACTTGCATCCCCCAAACGAGTTTTATTTAGCCCCATTATTATAGAACTGTTTCTCTTTTTATCAAACTAGAGCAATGAATACTTCTGCCTCCATTGTAAAACCCAACCCTCTCACTAACCTTTTGCCATTTAACTTTCATTCTACCATGCTACTCAGGGCTTTTCAACATTAATCACTCTGAGAAATGTTTTGCCAACTTTGTCCTCTCTCTGTGACAGTAGCGTAAGAAAAGTGCTCAATAAGTATTTGTTGGCCTGTGCTGTGGATTTTTTTTTTAAACTTAACTATTTCCTCAAATGATACTGTGTTAGAATCCCTGCGTTTGCAATTCTGACATCACTCATTTCCCTGTGTAGCGTCACACTGCTCAGCTCCGGGAAGAGCTGCTAAAACTTCCTTGTCCTGACGGCTTGGACCCTGATGTTGAAGATGCCTCGGAAATGTGCAGTGCCACAGCAGGTGCTGAGGGGACGCTCATGCATGATCAGGTCAAACCCTGCAGCAGTAAAGAACTCCCCAGTGACTTCAAATTATGAGCTGCATTGACATGGACTTCATAGACACAAAGGCTTTGAAGCACAAGCCAAATATGTCAATATTTGTATGTAAGAAACTAATTATGTAATAGGTAATGAAACTGAAACTATACTATGCCCTTACGGAGATCCAGTTTAATTCAAGGTGATCTTTTATTTACCTGTACAAGAGTGTAAACTTTTTTGTGCTTTTATTTTTCAATTGTGAGAACCACTGATTGGTATGTTGAACAAATTTGTGTATACAAAGAATGGATAAATCACTGATATATAAGGGAAACTACCTTAGGAAAGAATGTTTACTGAATGTTTATTTTATTTTTTTTTTTACTGTAGAGTGAGAGATTGTTAACAAAGAATATATATTGGTCATTCTTACAACTACTATTTGAAGTCAGCAACTTTTCACTGAATTTGATAGATTTTATGTTTGGCCATATCTTCATGCTCATATTTGATTTCTGAAGACCTACGTACACTTCAATAAAAGTTAATTTACATACTCCTTTTTTGATTTACTGGTACATTTTTTAAATTATAAATCTGCCATAAAAATGTGTTATATAGTTGGACACTTGCACTTGTATGGATGAATTTATTACATTCAACATATTTAATTTTATGCCTTCTAATTGCAGAAAAATAAATGAACATGATTTTATTCTATGCCAATATTTGGGCTTGTGAATGTATTTGTTATTTGAATTTAAGAATATGAAAGGAATGGTCAATTTGAAAAGTCACCCTTAAACTGATTTTTTTCCTAAAGGGCTCCTTTTCTTCCTGGACTCTGGTTTTATTACTAAAGTTACCTGTATGCATTAAACACAGGCTCTGTAGAGCAGAGAGGTGGTTCCTCTCTGGTGCTGTTACAGTACATTCTGTACCTGCCATATAGGCTCATTTTCATGCAAACTCTTCCTAGAGCCAAATAAATGAAGACTTAGGTGTGTTAGTATGTCTTATTTCTAAAAACAGTTTGCTGTGTGTGAAATACTTGGACACAAAAAATTGGACATTTTCAAGACCTAAGCATGGGAAAGGAAAGGATATTTTTGTAAGACCAATTATCACAAAAGAAAAGCAAAGGTGATTTTTGACAGTATTTATAGAAAATAAAGTACATGGGAACCCTGAATCTGGAGCTTACTAGAAGAAGACATATTCTGAACATGAGTTGCTCTCTGAAAGAAGGGGAACTACAAGGTACAGAGCTCCTTAAGCATGGATGAAGGAGGGACAAACAGTATGTGACCAGGAAATCAAGGGTTTTGAAACACAGTATGGAGTTTTTGTTACGTCTGGTGGGTGGTGAACTCCAAGAATGACAAAATAGAGTCCATTTATAAAAAGTCATTTACCACAGACATGATAGCTAAAATCTCAGTATAAAATTATCAGCAATAAAAGGTAAAAGAACAGTCATCAATCCTTTAGTCTTCGTTGCTGTTTGGTCTGACAGGGTCCCATCAGGGTGGAGAATAAAAGTTGCTGTTAAATGTATTTTCCTCCAATTTTGGATTTTCATCATTAAAATAAGCTTCGGTCATTTTCTCCACTCTATACCATTACTCCTCAGAATACTGTTTTACAAAAAGGAAAGTAACAGTACCAGTACTATAAGGCCCAATTCATGTACATAGGTTCCTGTAGGTGAGAGTTGAATGACATGAAAATACAATGTCAGTGCAATACGGTAAGTTCTCTGATGGTGTTAGTTACAGGTACTGTTGTGAGCACAGACGAGGGACACCTACCTCAGGTAAATCACTAAGGTGATATGGTCAGAAAACACTTCCTGAAGAAACATATCCAGAGTCTTGAGGGGTGAAAATAAAGAAATTAGCCAGGGAGAAAGAAGTTCCAGAGACGAGAGATCAAAAGGAGAGCTCGAGTTAATGGGACCACGTTAGATACTATTGGACTTTAAAAATATGTATATTTTTATTGATTTCAGAAAGGAAGGGAGAGGGAGAGAGATGGAAACATCAGTGATGAGAGAATCATTGATCAGCTGCCTCTTGCACGTCCAGCACTAGGGATGGAGTCTGCAACCTCTAGGTCAGGGCTCAACCACTGAACCATGATAGTGGGGATGGGGTTGAGGGGGATAAATTTTTTACTTTTTTACAATTTCTTTTATTATTTTAAATTCCTTTATTAAGGTTTTACATATGTGTCCTTATCCCCCCATTACCCACCCCCACCCCACTCATGCCCTCAACCCCCTGGTTGAGGCTTAAATGCATGCATACAAGTCCTTTGGTTGATCTCTCCCCCTTACCCCCACCCTCCCCTTCCTTCCCTCTGAGGTTTGATGGTCTGATCGATGCCATGCCCTTGACCAGAATCGAACCTGGGACCTTTCAGTCCACAGGCCGATGCTCTATCCACTAAGCCAAACCGGGGGAGTTCCATTTTTAGTTTTTTGAGGAAACTCCATCTTTGTTACTAATGTTTCTTTGTTACCACCCCATAACAAAGAAACAGAATTTCCGGAGGATGAGGCTCGGAAATCAGGATTTTAAAAAGATTCCCAGGTGATTCTAATGTGCAGCCAAGGTTGAGCACCACTGACCTAGAGCACTACTGTGAAGAATAAAGGCGCCCTGCGCTCAGCGGCAGGCACAAAGGCTGGCAGGTTTCTGCAACATGCAGTCTACCCTCCAAAAACTTACCTGCATCAGCGCGGGCCAGATGTCCCCATTTGGGCATAATTTATGTAGTGGCAACGTCAGCACCGAATGCTTTCCTTACACTTAATTCATTAAAAGAATATAAAGACTTTTTCTCTGTGGCCGGGGTTCTTAACCTGGGGTTTAGGGACTCCACAGGGTCTCTCACTTCCACAGACGGTACCCAACTGCTGGTAGTAAAGGCCCACGTGCCTTTTGCGGAAAGAACTACGCCTTTCATCAGGTAGTGAGGAGGGTTCAGACCCAAGCAGGTTTGGGAATTAAAGCGGTAGACCTTCCAACGACGGGGGGTTGGACTGGAACGCCACCGAGGACTCCACGCCTCCCACGACGCCTGCAGCCGGCGGCAGCCGCCCCTCGGGGCGGGGCTGAGGTCGGCCGCGCCCTCCAATCCCGGCCATTCCCCGCTCGGGGCGGGGCACCTCCACTGGGCATGCTCAGTATCGGGGCCTTTGGGTTGGTTTTCTAGGCGGAAGCTGGTGCAGGGTCCGTTTTCCCAGGAAGCGCCGCGCTGCTGTTATGGCCGCCTCCCTGGGCCATTATCAGCACATGGGCTTCCACAAGAACTGTCGCCACTAGACTTCGGCGTCTCTGGACCTTCCTCTTTTCACTTTAGTGTGTGACTTCCGTGTGACCGTTGTGGGGCCCGGTTTTGGCTGGGGCGACGTCCGGGGTGATGTGGACCCCGGAGCTGGCAGTTTTGAGGGGCTTCCCCACTGAGGCTGAGCGGCAGCAATGGAAGCAGGAGGGAGTCGCCGGCTCAGGTGAGCGAGGCGCACGTGCCAGGGGCTCGGCCAGCGTCGGACTGTGAGGAGAAGGGGTGGCAGTGGCTGGGTTCTGATCCCTCCTTGTTTGATTTCATTTTTCTACCAAAACCTTGCTGATTTCTTAAGGCTCTGGGTTGTTGCATACTTGACATGGTGGGCGTGTCCTCAGCCTCCGTGCTTGTCTTCCCCCCAAACTTCTCACCGCCCAGGTTCAGAAATGATAACAATGGCAACATCAGCTACTTTTCTGACATTTATGTAGTCGTTTGGCCTTTTTTTTTTTTTGCTTGTTTGTTTTCTTTTTTTCCTAGTTGTTTGATCTTTATAATAGACACGAAAGGTAGATGCTACTTTAAATTTGCGGATGAAGGCATTTAACTACTGATTGGTTAAGTAATGTATTCAAGGTTGCTCAGCTCGTAAGCGGAAAAGCTGTGATTCTTCTGAGCAATGCACATTTAACCGAGAGTTAAAGCATTAAAAGGCACATATACTTGTGGGATATAGGCACATCTGATTGTGGTATTTAGGCTGGACCCAGAAGAGAAATAACATTTATGACAGTATATAAGTGGTGTGCGTGTGTGTACACACAAAATAGGTGCCTCAGGATAGGTAGTTTGTGAAGTCTTGTCTGGAACAGTTTTGTGGGAGGAAGTCTGACTTGAGCTGATTTTTGATTAAAGGATAAGACTGACAGGTGGAGAAGAGCTGAGCAGGAGAGATCACAAGCGTAAGAGTATGGAGGCAGGAATGTGCATGAAAACTAGAGGAGCAATGAGTGAACCAGGTTTTTTTCAGGGAGTGTAGGGGAGAGGGGTGTAGGGGGAGCCAGGCTGTGAAATGTCTTAGAACTCTGACTATGGAAACTTTTCCATTGTTAGTAGGAATTTTTTTGAATTCCCAGAAGGGTGAGAGTACTTATTAATGAGGAATGTTATTCCTGGGTCTAACTTCTACTTTGCTACTCATTGTATAGATGAGCTGCTAATTATAGGAGAAGTAATGTACAGCAAGCATTCTAAATATATACTCTTTTGCATACTAAAATGGTAGATTTACATGATAGTATTATCCTTTACAGTATGAAAAAAAATTGTTCTTTTGGATTATTGATCTAATTTTTTATATTACAGAGAGTGGATCGTTCCTACAATTGCTGCTAGAAGGGAATTATGAGGCCATATTCTTAAATTCATTGACTCAAAATATTTTTAATTCAACAAAGATAACTGAAGAAAAGATTGACAGCTACCTAGAGAAGCAGATATTAACGTTCCTTGATTTCTCACCAGATTTGGACAAAACCCAAAGGTAGAATTTTATTTGAAGTTTTCATAGAGAATGAGCATCTTAATACATTGAATAGAGCTTTGACAGTGGAAGACACTGATTTTGGCAGTTATTGAAAAACCCAGCTTTACATTCATTCAGGGCTCATACTGTACCAAATAATCAGTGTAAGAGCTTCTGTCCAGGGGACCATTAGAATGAAAAAGTAAAGTGGTGTAGGATATAAGGGTTTTGTATATGAAATTGGCATGTAATTGGATGGTAACTGCTAACTCACTGAGCTTCCAAATGCTTAGGTCTGATAGTTTTTACCTATAAGCAAGACTTCAGACCTTATTTCCTTTTCACTTGAAAGCATATCTTGTTCATCTTGTTATTTCTAGATTGCTGAGTGATACTTAATAACTTTTTATTATGTTTTAGACTGTTAACTTTCCAGAGATCAGAAAGCTTAATGCATTTATCGTGGAACCCTTGTTTTACCTTCTTCCACTGAAGTTGATATAATTTTATAGGATTAAGTATAATAGTTACACAGCAGTGAAACCTAAATTTTACTGTTGTAAATTTGTTAATATACTTCTTTATTTTCTTGGCATCCACATCAAGTTTTAATTTTCTTTAATATGCATACAATTTTGTTTTACCATTATTTCTAGGCAATGGCTTTGTTTTTTCTTCAACAGACTACTGTACTAAATGTTGAAGTTGTGAATAAGACATAATTTGTATCCATAAGGGAGTTCACAAAAGAATGTAACTGTAGGCATTTTATTTTATTTTAAAGATTAATATCACTCCTTTTCATTTTTATGGTTTACATTCCTGAAATGGCCATCCTGATTCTTATTTTGCTGTCTGAAGTATGTGCCAGTATCATAGAAACTGGCTTTGCGGTGCACATTAACACACACACACACACATACGTTGATCACTGGGAGAGCAGAATTCCAGCTTGTCATGTAGAGCTGAGAAGAAAGATTTCAGTTGCCTCATTTTGAAGAATTTGAAATTAAACTGTATTTGGGGTTGGCCTTGGGGATTTAGATTTTTGGTTGTGACGGCTGTAGTAAGGCTTTAAGATCTTTCTACACACCTGTTTTCCCCAAGTTTCCTAACTTCTAACGAAGCAGGCTCTTTGGTCACATGTTTTCTCTAGTGCTGCTCTTTTTAAAAAAATACATATTTTTAGCCCTAACCGGTTTGGCTCAGTGGATAGAGCATCGGCCTGCGGACAGAAAGGTCCCAGGTTTGATTCCGGTCAAGGGCATATACCTTGGTTGCGGACACATCCCCAGTAGGAGGTGTGCAGGAGGCAGCTGATTGATGTTTCTCTCTGATGTTTCTAACTCTCTATCCCTCTCCCTTCCTCTCTGTAAAAGGTCAATAAAATATATTTAAAAACTCTCTATCCCTTTTCCTTCCTCTCTGTAAAAAATCAATCAAATATATTTTTTAATAATACATATTTTTATTGATTTCATCTTTTAATTATTCATCTTTAAATAATATTTTACATATTTTTACTTATAAAAAAATATACTTTTATTGATTTTAGAGAGAACCAGAAAGGGAGAGAGTGATAGAAACGTCAATAATGAGAGAATCATTGATTGGCATGCCTCTTGCATGCCCCCCACTGGGGATCGAGCTCACAACCCCGGGCATGTGCCCTGATTGGGAATCAAACCGTGACCTCCTGGTTCATAGGTTGATGCTCAACCACTGAGCCATGCTGCCAGGCCAGAAATTTTTTTTTAATACTCTCAGATAATCTCATATATTGGTTGATATCTTACATTTTACGAAATAAAACTGAAATGAAATAGTATGTTGGTGGTTATACAGTGGTTCACATTTATTTCTCTATTCTTATATGCAGACAACAACTGATATTCCTAATTGGTGTGAGCAGTTTGCACCTCTTTGTTCAGAGTAACTGGACGGGGCCTGTGGTTGATTTCCATCCTCAGGACTTCTTGCCGTCTGTTTTGTTCCAGCAATTCAGTGAGGTATGCTTCTTGGAAACATCATCTGTAGTTATTATCGTGTGATCTATTCTTCAGGGACTGATCTTTAGAAACTGGAGTTCTCAATTAGTAAGAATGAAACATGATTTTATAGCTTGTACAAAACCTGCCAAGAATGCTTGTTCCTCAATCAGATTTTTGACATATTTCCAGAAGTGTCATTGCCAGTCTCAAACTCCTCTTCAGATGTCCCCATTTTCTGGGGCTCTGTGAGCTGCTCTTTTTTTAAAGCACAGGCAGTGGTACCAGTTGCTCATATATATAGGTGCATATGTTACCACAGTTAAATAACGGTCTTTTCTGGCAAAGCAGCAGATCTGGAAATCTGTTGCAGGTAAGTTTTGCTGCAACGCTTAGGAATGGTTCCCAGGGGTGAGTTCCTTTATCTTACAGATACTATCTTAAGTGCCTGGCACAGAGGCCTCCCTGTTGATATTATTATTATTCGTACATGAAGACCATGTTATTGACTTGCATCAGTAGATCATCAGTAGAGCTTGCAGTTTGAATTCCTCAGGCATTTTTGAGCACATATGCCTAGGGCTTGGTGAATATGACACGCTCCCCAAAGAAGTGTGGTAACTTTGATTTATCCAGCCACCTCAGAGATCTTGAACATAGTGATTAACCACTCAGCCTTGGCACCCAAAACTTATGCAGTGAAAGGGGCCTGTGTACTGTTACCCGGTGTCTCAGAATTAGAAATAGCAAATGAAAGGAATGGAGTTACTGAGATAAATGTTAGTAATTTGGTGGTGAAGTGGTACAAAAGCAGTGGAGAGGAGGTACAAAAGCAGCCATAATCTGAAAGCCACTATAATTAGTTGTGTGTATATAGGTTTCAAATGTACAATTCTATAATATATCATCTGTATATTGCATTGTGTGTTTACCACCCAAAGTCGAGTCTCTTTCTGTCACTGTGTATCTGACCCCCTTTTTACCCTTTTCTACACTCTCCCACCTCCCATTCCCTCTGGTAACCACATACTGTTATTTGTGGCATGGGTTTTTGTGTGTTTGTCTTGTTTGTTCATTTGTTGCTTTTAATTTTATAGATCTTATTTTGCTAAGTGAAGTAAGTCATATAGAAAAAGTCAAGAGCCATATGATTTCAATCATATGTGGGATATAAAGCTGATTCATCTTTCTTAGCTCTTGTAATGCACAAATATTTGTGAATATACTTTGTGGTCATGGAGTCTAGTCACCAAAGCCAGATGAAATTCCCCTGCCTCTAATTTACGGCCTTGTGACAGTGTGAAGGCTGGGAGTGATCCTGGTCCTGAACTTGAGGCCTTCCTAATGCCTCCCACGGCCCTGACCTTGCTGAGTGGCAGGAAGAGGTAGAGAGATCCCTGGGGAGGCAGCATGTGGTGGGAAAAACATTGGTTTGGGAGTTGGAAAACTTGGAATATATACTCTTTATTCAGACCCTAAGTTCTGTGTGATTTGGGGCTTCACTTAACTTTTTGGATCTGTTGCCTCACTTCTAAAATTGAGGCAGTTGGAAATAACTTCGAAATAGTTACTTAATTATTGAATTAAAAAAAAAATTCCTTCTGTCCTTAGTGGAGTTAACAGTAAGCTTTATGTGTGGTTTGGTGCGAGTCATTCATGTTGTTTTTATTCCTCTATTATACTTCTCAGTATAATTATCATAAGAATTCTATGAGGTATGGTTTCTATTATTTCATTTTAAAATTGATGAAACTGAGGCTTCCGTTAAAAAATTTATCTGTCTACATACTGACAAAGGACACCATCCTGTGTCTCTTGAGATTTGAGCCCATATTCCTAATAGTTAAGCATCCCTGCAGTCTGTTTTGTGGAAGCTGTCACAATTGTGCAGTTCACATTTTAAAAACATTTAGGAAATCAGTGCAGTCAAGGGGGGAGTTTTCACAGGCATCCCTTTTTTGCAGCTTTTTAAAAACAATACTTTCTTTCTTTCTTTCTTTCTTTCTTTCTTTCTTTCTTTCTTTCTTTCTTTCTTTCTTTCTTTCTTCTTTCTTCTTCTTCTTCTTCTTCTTCTTCTTCTTCTTCTTCTTCTTCTTCTCTTTTTTTAAAGAAAAGACATCTATGTTGTTTATTTTTCTCCTTCCTCCGTCCTTCCTTCCTTCCTTCCTTCCTTCCTTCCTTCCTTCCTTCCTTCCTCCCTCCCTCCCTCCCTCCCTTTCTTCCTTTTTTCCTTCCTTCCTTCCTTCCTTCCTTCCTTCCTTCCTTCCTTCCTTCTTTTCTTTCTTTTTCTTTCTTTTTTTGCAGCTTTCTGTTCTCTGTTCCTTGGTTGTGTGCCTGCTCAGCACTTGCTATGTAAGACCTTGTTGGCTTGATAGAAATTTTGGAGCAGTCGTGCTTTGTAATGACATTTTCCAGCTAATGAAGCATATGTGAAATGTGTTTACAATTCTTTAACTAGGGATGCTTTTTATTGAGATGACATTTTGTCGTAAGTAAATCTATAAAGTCATGATGCCTCTTCAGTATTAGTATTGTCTTGAGCTCCCTGTTCCTCTGAAGCACAGCAGATGGCTGGCTCCTTGTCAGGGCCGGCTGGATCTGTAGATCCCTCAGGGCGTTTATGATGTTATGATTCTGCCCAGCACCAGTTACTGTGTAATAGATTAATGTCTTTGCTTCAGAACTGGAGTAGCTGGAAAATATGTGTAATTACAAGACATAAAGATTAATGATATTTTGTTAAATTCTATCTTCTTAGATTACAATTTTTTTATTTTTATTTTTTAGGTGAAAAAACTGGATGCAGTTGTTCTGAGTCTGCTCATTCTTGATGGTGAATCAATCTACAGCCTGACCTCAAAGCCTATACTGCTGTTATTAGCACGCATTATCCTAGTGAATGTAAGACATAAACTGACAGCACTTCAGGTAAGGGAAGACAAGGAGCCAGGAGCTTCATACCCAGGTGTGACTTTTATGCTGATTAGCATCAGACTTTAGGTGTGATGTTGACGACATCTTAACATATTTACTGTCTAAGTTGCCTTGTAGGTATTTTATTTTAAAACCTGATGAACATAAGCAAAAGCTTTCTCCCCTCATGATTTTCATCTAGTATAAAATGAGATTATTTTGAATCTCTTTAATAGGATTGTAAGTATGTGTGTATGTAACATGTATGCATGTATATAAATGTTCATTCTCTGAATCTGAAATATAGGTTTAAAAACATCCTTCATGGTCTTTTATGAATTTCATGTAAAATAATGAGCAGTAGGCAGAGTTTAGCACTGTCGATCTCAGAGGATCTCGGTTACTGTTTTCTGGCTCATCTCCAGCCTTGTTTCATTATTTGGGTAGGGTTTAGTAGAGCATTTGTTGAGAATCTGGCATGGTTTCCTTAAGTCATGTGTAAATTAGTGAGACGAAGCACTAAGACTCAGAAGGCTAAATAGGCAGTAGTAGGAGGCGACAAAATCACAAGAAATACAAAGAAAGTCTTTGGAGGTTTAGAGGAGGTGTCACCTGTGCTTTGTGCAGGCTGTTTTAACTCCTGGAGCCTCTATAACTATTCAGCTTTGCATTGTGGTGTGCAAACAGCTGGACACTGTGTGAACGAATGGGTGTGACTGTGTTGTACCAATAAAGCTTTATTTATGTCCACTAAATTTTTAATTTTAGCCTCAGCAGTTGGCTCAGTTGATTGGAGTGTTGTTCTGTACACCAAAGGTTGTAGGTTTGATTTCCAGTCAGGGCACATACCTAGGTTGTGGTTTCCATCACCAGTTGGGGTGTGTACAGGAGACGACTGAACAGTGTTTCTCTCTCTTTCTTCCTCTCTCTCTTTTGTTTTTCTCTCTCTCTTTCTCTTTCTCCTACCGTCTCTCTAAAAAAAAAATCAATAAACATAAACTTGGGTGAGGATTAAAATAATTAATTTTATATAAAAAAAATCAATAAACATAAACTTGGGTGAGGATTAAAATAATTAATTTTATATATTTTCACATGTTACAATATGTTATCCTTCTTTTGTATTTTGGAATGATTTAAAAATGTAAAGCTGTTCTGACTCCTTGGGCTGTATAAATGCTGGTGGTGGGCTGCTTTCGGCCCGTGGGCTACATCTTGCTTACTCCTGTTCTGATTGCTGCAGCATGGGGACTCAGACCCTGTATTGCCAATAGTAAACCTAAGTTTTATGTGAAGTCTCCCAATTTCTAAGTGTTGGCTGAAAAATGTTAAGAAACACAATGTTTCTATGGCAAAATGTAGATTTGGTTTGTACTGTATGAGGGCTTGCTTTCATGAGCACTTAAGTTTTAGAGAAGAGGCAAGAAGGGAAGTGATAGCTCTATCTACAAGTCTCATGAGAGCCAAAGATTTATTTGGAATCAGTTGCTCTGGAAGGGTTTCTAATTGATGTGTTTCAACGTGTCTTCCAGATATAAGGTCTTATCATTGTTTTCTTAGCGACATTAGTTTGAATTAAAAAATGTTTCCCTAGTTGATCTGAGTTAAATGGTCCTATAGACCAGCGGTCGCCAACCTTTCGGACCTCACGGACCACCAGTGATCCGTGGACCACTGGTTGGTGACTGTTGCATAGACTAACTGGTATGTACTTGGCTTTGAAGAAAGTATCAACAAGGATGAGGCTACCAGATGGCAGAATTTTCTTTCTAGTGAGACTAATGATCATTAACGAGTGGGACAATTTTAAGTTTTGTTGGTGGAAAACTTTCATCAGCAAGTTTGTTAAGCATCACTTGAATAAAGATGCATGTACTATGAGCAACTAGCAGAACAAGTTAAGATGTGATCATACTTGGTAGGGTTGGAGAGACAAGTTACCTGAATTTCTTGGCATGTGCTTAACTTTGACTTCAGCTTTTAACCCTGTTTTCTTGTTGTACATTGCTATGCAAAACAAAGATCATTCTGTGCTGAAACCTGGCCTTTCAATTGAAACATTCGAGTTTTTTTCTCTTTGGGTCTTGAATGCATTACTCTCTAAATGATGATGTTAAAAGTGACTTTAATAAATGAAGGTAAAATGATTACAAAGCACAACGTACTTATCCAAGTTAATTTTAATCTTTTGAATTAATTTTGAATAAGTTGGCTCTTAGGAAATGTATCAAATTGTGTATTGCAGTATTATTTTTGTGGAACTGTGAAAGATGATTTTCCCCTGCCCTCTAACTTGTGAAATATTACATAATACTAGTAATATGTAAATATGGAGTGAAAAGAGTCCTGGCTTTGAAATCACACCAGTTTGTCTGGCTCAGCCACTTAACAACTGTGTAACCTTATGCTAGTTAGTTTCTCTGAATTCCAGTCCCTTGTTGATAGCCTGCTTTCTAGGAGGTTATTGACTAGTGTGACTTCTCCATCAGAACATTCTGTAGTAAGCCCTGTAATCAGGAGGCAGGATCTAGAAACCATCTAAAGCAAGGCTTCAAATTCTCTTATTTATGAATGACTCAAAAGTTCTATTAAGCAATTCTTGGCAAATAGAAAAAGGCACTTTTATTTTCTAGTAGAACATAAGCTATGCTTTATTTGTTTTGCAACCCCGCTTCTATATAAAGATTTTGGGTTAAGAATTAGTTTTATAGATCTGATTTAAAAAAATATGTATATATGTTTTATTTATTTCAGAGAGGAAGAAAGAGCGAGCGAGAGAGAGAGAAACATCAATGTCTCATTGAGATTCTGGCCTGCAACCAGGGCATGTGCCTGACTGGGAATCAAACCGTGAATTTTTGGTTGATAGGTCAGTGCTCAACTACTGAGCCACACACCAGCTGGGCCAGATCTGATTTTTTAGAGTTTAGCATCTTACATTGTATGTTTTCTTACAAAGGCAATCTCTTTGGATCTATCTAAATTCCCATATGTAGAAAAGGAAAGACTCTGCTGCCAAACCTGACTCACTTATTGCTGACAGAGGATAAGGAACAGATAATTGATGTGTACACTGACTTCATTAGCTTTACTGATAGGAACAGAATGAGGCAACACCCAGTGAATTACATTAACAATGATGTGAAACTTCTTTCTATTAGATAATTCTATCTTTCCTTACATGGAAGGAGGAAACCACATTAATAATTATGTCATAGAGTCAAAACTCATTTGTCATTGTGTCATTGTTGCAGCTGTTGTGGTGTACAGCAGTTTAGAAGGGGAACCAGGCAGTTTTCCCTCTTAATCAAATGCAGAAGTTAAGTTCAAGTAAAACTTGGTAATTAAGCATGACCTCCCATTAGTAGCTATTGCTTTTTTATAAAAAGTAAAATTAATTTCTCAACAGCCTTACACAATATAATTCAAAATAAGTTTTAATTTAGGTTATCTAGTGCAGGGGTGGGCAAACTTTTTGACTCGAGGGCAACAATGGGTTCTTTAACTGGACCGGAGGGCCGGAACAAAAGCATGGATGGAGTGTTTGTGTGAACTCATATAAATTCAAAGTAAACATCATTACATAAAAGGGTATGGTCTTTTTTTTTTTTTTTTAGTTATATTCATTTCAAACGGGCCGGATCCGGCCCGCGGGCTGTAGTTTGCCCACGGCTGATCTAGTGCATGATGTTTAATACTTTAATTAATATGTATGTATATATATATATATGCCTACGTGACCATTATGACCAGTTGACCAACTGACCGGTCGACTGGTCACTATGACATGCACTGACCACCAGGGGGCAGACGCTCAATGCAGGAGCTGCCCCCTGGTGGTCAGTGCACTCCCACGGCTGGCCAACCTCCCGCAGTCCCTCACCTGGGCTCACCGGCCCCAATTGGCCCTGATTGCTGGCCAGGCCGAGGGACCTGTGACCCATGCATGAATTTGTGCACTGGGCCTCTAGTGCGTCTATAAAAATTGGAACTTGTACACACATGCACATTTAGAGGAAGATGTAGAAGAATATGAGCCTTTTTCATGGATTTTTCTGAGAAAGAATGATGGCATTGGGGCAGCAGAAGAGAGAGATTCACTCTTCACTGTGTTAGCTTATGTGACCCAACTTGTTGTTTGTTGTTTTTCTTTTTCTTTCTTTTTTTTAAAATATATTTTATTGATTTTTTACAGAGAGGAAGGGAGAGAGATAGAGAGTTAGAAACATTGATGAGAGAGAAACATCGATCAGCTGCCTCCTGCACATCTCCCACTGGGGATGTGCCCGCAACCCAGGCACATGCCCTTGACCGGATTCGAACCTGGGACTCTTCAGTCCGCAGGCCGACGCTCTATCCACTGAGCAAACCAGTTTCGGCTTCTTTTTCTTTTTTTAAATAAAGATGTATTGATAAGTAAGAACAAGCATCAGAGAAGAGAGAAAAAAAACACTGTGTTCTTAGCCTGTGAATTAGTCAAGACAATGTATAAAGTGCAGTCTTTACCCTCAAAAAATGTATGGATTAGGTAGAGTTGTACAATTGAAAAACAAGAGCTGTCCAATGTGGTCTAACTTCTAGGAGCAGTGTAGAAGCCCAGAGTGCATCACACTAGTGGGACAGGGCTTCATGGGAGAGGTTTCACAGACGTGTGGGAGGGAACGTCCTGGTTTTGGACAATACCTGAATGAATCCAGTGTATTTCTTACTTGGTAGTTTGTGCAAAACACATTGCTTTGGGGAAGATACAGAGATGAGTAAGACATGATTTCTCATCTTGTTGGGTAAATGGTGGACAACACCAAAAGCTAGGGGTGACATACAGGATCACAGTGGAGTGTGCTTGAAAAGGGAGGTACAAGTATATGCTGGGAGTGTAAATGAAGGAAAATGACCACCCCATACCCCCTGGAGGTTCTTCTTTTTTTTTTTTAATATATATTTTATTGACTTTTTACAGAGAGGAAGGGAGAGGAATAGAGAGATAGAAACATCGATGAGAGAGAAACATCGATCAGCTGCCTCTCGCACACCTCCTACTGGGGATGTGCCCGCAACCAAGGTACATACCCTTGACCAGAATTGAACCTGGGACCCTTGAGTCTGCAGGCTGATGCTCTATCCACTGAGCCAAACTGGTTAGGGCTCTTTTTTTTTTTTTTAAATAATATGTTTTTATTGATTTTAGAGAGAGAGCAAGGGAGAAGGAGAGAGAGATAGAAACATCGATCGGCTGCCTCCTGCAAGCTCCCTAACTGGGGCCTGCAACCCGGGCATGTGCCCTGATTGGGAATCGAACCAATGACCTCTTGCTGTATGGGACCATGCTCAATCCACTGAGCCATATGGCCAAGCTCCCCCCTAGGACAGCGGTTCTCAACCTGTGGGTCGTGACACCTTTGGTGGTCGAATGACCCTTTCACAGGGTTCGCCTAAGACCATCCTGCATATCAGATATTTACATTACGATTCATAACAGTAGCAACATTACAGTTAGGAAGTAGCAATGAAAATAATTTTATGGTTGGGTCACAACATGAGGAAGTGTAGTTAAAGGGCCAGAAGGTTGAGAACCACTGCCTTCGGAGGTTTTTGTGGGAGGCCTCCTGGAACTGTTGGTGCTGACAGAAAACAGTGTGGTTGCAGCAGACATTTTAGTGTGGGATATGGTGAGTTTGAAATGGTGTGGACTAAAAAGAACAGGCTTTGAGAGAACAGAGGAGAGGGATGTTCTTGTGGAAGATGTAGAAGCGGATTTGAGTATTATTACTGAAGACATAGCAGTGGATTGGGAAGCTTATTGAGTAAGGTCAATTCCACAAATGTAAAAAAAATTCATTTCAATTAATGTAAAAGATATTTTGTGAACGGTCCCTTTATTTCAACATACGTGGTGCTTTTTTCTCTCTAGAGCTTGCCTTGGTGGACTTTGAGGTGTGTGAATGTTCACCAGCAGTTGCTTGAGGAACGTTCACCTCAGCTTTTTGCTCTTGCCGAAGGTTGTATTGATCAAGGTATGTAGCAGGTTTTTATTGGATGTGGGCATGTAACTCCATTTTTAACTTCTTGGCTGAGACATTCCTTTTTAGCTTATCCTTTGATAGGTAATAGTGACTTTATTGGAGGTTGTTTCTTTTTTTTTCTGGAGGTGGAATATTAAATTATTAGGGTGTCAGATTATAGAACTTGTTTTATTTTTGCATTTTTTTTTTTAAAAAGGCAATTGTCATTTATGTTACCTACTTAGAAGGAATAATTTGTTCTATGCAAGTCACCATGATTTTATCATGAATTGCGTAAAGGTATTTTAATATTTTCCTCTGTTCTTTAACTTAAGAGGTCTTTTTGCAAGAGTAAAAACAAGCGTAAGCTTCCTTTATTAAAAAAATCCTTAACTCAAACTGGAGTAAATTGTGCCAACTTGCGTGCAGAATAGGAAATTATTTATCCTATTAAGTACATAAAGAAAAGCTTTCTTTTTTTAAAACTTTTGGTGGAAAATACTTTTTATTGAGGGTGACAGTGGATAGAGAGACATTTTTACATTTTGTTTCATTATTGTTTTCTTCTTTTAAAATTGATTTTTTGAAATTATTTTTTATTTTTCAATTACAGTTGACATATAATATTAATTTCAGGTGTACAACCCAGTGATTAGACAAAGGTCAATCAGATACACTAGATAGGACATTAATTTGTGCAGTAACAAATATAGTAAGCTAGGTGATCAGTTGAAACTAATTTCTCATTTTTATTTTGTTCTAGGACAGAAATACATAAGTATATGCTAATATTAGATAAAGTGAACCATCTATATATGACTCAATAAGGAAGATATTTGAATCTATGATACTATAGATTTTAATAATCTATAATAACTGATTCATTTATGCTGTTTATATTAGGACTTGGTTTATATTTTTCCAGGACTTTAGGTAATATAAGGCTATGGAACGAGCAAGGGCATTTTAGAATAAACTTTGTCTCTATTAAAAAGTATTTACCAGTATTCTGCCCTAAGCAGTTTGATTCAGTGGTTTGAGTGTTGGCCCTTGGATGAAGGGTTGCAGGTTTGATTCCAGTCAAGGGCATGTACCTCGGTTGCAGGCTCAATCCCGGCCCCTGGTCGGAGTGTGTGCAGGAGGCAACCAGTCGATGTGTCTCTCTCTGTCTCTCCCCCTCCTTTCTACTTTCTCTAAAAAAAAAATGGAAAAAGTATCCTTGGGTGAGGATTAAAATAAATAATAATAATAAAATAAATACACTTTTCTTTATGTTAAAAAAAGTATTTGTTCTGAGCTTCAACTTTGTATATTTAAAATTTTGTTATTCTGCCACTGGATTTACTTACTGTTACATGCAATAAACATTAGTATTTCAAGAAAAACAATTTTAAATATAGTATTAAATGCAATAAAAGTTAATAGTTCAAGAAAAAAGATTTTAAATATAATAATATTACCAAAACTGTATTAACATAGTATAGTACCATAGTACCACAAAAGTTGTAGGAAATATTAAAAATCTGCAAATAACAGGATTACTTCTATTATATTTTAAAATGTTTTTTTCTCTGGCTCTATTTTGGTTCATTAGTTTATGTTGTTCATTACATTCCACAAGTGAGTGAGATCATGTGGTAATTTATCTTTCTCCACCTGGCTTATTTCGCTTACATAATGCTCTCCAGGTCAGGCCGATGCTCTATCCACTGAGCCAAACGCGTCAGGGCAGTACCACAGTTTTTTAATCCACTTATCTGCTGATGGGCACTTAGGTGTTTCCAATCATAGCTATTGTAAATTGTGCTGCTATGAACATGGAGGTGCATATAATTCTTTCTGATTGGTGTTTCTGGTTTCTTGGGATATGTTCCCAGAAGTGGGATTACTGGGTCCAATGGGAGTTCCATTTTTAATTTTTTGAGGAAACTCCATACTGTTCTCCACAGTGGTCGCACCAGTCTGCATTCCCACCAGCAGTGCACAAGGGTTCCTTTTTCTCTGCATCCTCGCCAGCACTTGTCGTTTGTTGATTTGTTGATGACAGCTATTCTCTGCCACTGGATTTAAACCTGACATTTAGTAGCAGATTAGTTGATTTATTTATTTGAGAGAGAGGAACATATATTTGTTGTTCCACTTATGCATTCATTGATTGATTCTTTTTTTTAATTTGATTTTTAGAGAGAGAGAAACATCGATGTGAGAAACACCGATCCGTTGCTTCCCATAGCACCCCAAACCAGAGATCGAACCTGCAACCTGTGTATGTGCCCTGATTGGGAATCAGATCAGCAACCATTCGGTGCACAGGACAATGCTCAATCAACTGAACTACATAGCCAGGGCTGGTAGCTAACATTTTTTCCTTTCTGTTAATCCTCAACCAAGGATATTTTTCCACCGAGGCTATTTTTCCATCAGTTTTTAGAAAGAGCAGAAGGGAAGAAGGGAGAGAGAGAGAGAGAAAAGGAGGGAGGGAGGGAGAGAGAGGGAGAGGAACATTGATGTGAGAAACACATTGGTTATCTCCTGAACATGCTGTATCCACTGAGCCAAGCCGTCTAGGGGTCTATGTGTACTTTTTAGGGGGAACTCTTTCTATTAGTCCTCCATCTCAATTGCAGATTTGACCTAATTTAATTTCTGTATAAGAAATTTTTTAAATGTTAAATATAGAAGTATGAGAAAATTGATCCTATCCAGATACCATGTGGTACTTTGAATCATTTCATGGTGTTGCCTAGGTATGACATTCTCTTCAAAATGGAATATCAAGTGGGACTTGGAGAAAACTGAAACCTGATGCCTGTTTAGCAGATATGTCTTTTCCTCTTTCTGTTTTTAGTGAAATGAAAATGTGTAGACTATGTCTCCCCCCATTCATGTCTTTGCATATTTTTAAAGTAAGAGACACTCTGTAAACAAACTTTGTGCAAGCGAGAAATAAGAGTGTGTGTGTGTGTGTGTGTGCACAGGGGCGGGGGTTAAGCAGCTAGTTAATAAATTGGGTAAAGTTTTCAGGGATGAGCTGAATGTCATTGAAAGTAATGGGGGAAAAGTTGATTTTTTCCCATAGGTTATTGAAAACATTTGGAGGAGGATGGCATCAGGATTCAGCTCCTATTGAATTTTAAAAAAGGTAGTTACAGCCTACTGCATAGGATATTATACAGTTTCCTATCTTTTATTATACTTTCATGGAAAATTTGTAAATGAACAAAAACTAAGGTATCACTGGCAGTTTTTTTTTTAAAGGAAATGAAGTTTGGTGCAGATTTATTCTATATTATGTAAATCTACATTAATGGCTGTCTCTTTACCATATCTCTGGCTAATGTTCATAATGATAACTCTTTATTAAAAAAAGGACATACCTTCTTTATGTGCTATTTTTAAAGGCAGGAACCACAATGGTGTATTTTAGAGAGAATTCTAAGAGATAAAATTAAGTTTCTGAACAGAAAGGCTTAATAACTAAGATATTGGAAAATATGACTGTAACTGACTCATTCCCCAAGTGGTCTCAGTTCCTTTCTGTAGTGTATTGTAGCATATCATTTGCCCTGCCTTACAACTCAGAATTTTTTATGTTGCTATTCTAGGCTAATCAATGACATTTTTCATGTTATCTAGTCATAAATTGGTCTGTAGATAGTCTTAAACTACAACATTTCATAAACAACTTATTTAAAAAATGTTTTGTTCTGGGGTTTGACCCAAGTGTTAACCAAGCAGTCAGTTATAACTGAAATACTGTTCAGTGTCCAGGGAAAAAATATTATATTTGAAATGTTGCCCTTGAGGGATCATCAGAAAGTTGGAAGGATTTTTTTTCAGTCTGTGAAACAGAGCAAGTATATTATCAGCAACTGTGATCTTTATCTTTTGGTCCAAGAATGTTGCATCAGTACGATGTAGTGGAATAGAGTGCATCAGAGTGTCAGCTGGACTGATCCCGTCTATGAAGGAGTAAGTTGGAATCTTGAGGAGTTTGTCTCTCAGCACCATGTTAAGCACTCTTGGATGTCACACTCATGAAACCATGGTTCTCTAAAGACTGCTTAGGGATGCACAACCATTTATTGTAGGCTTTGATACTGAAAATGCATGAGCCATAATATTGCAGTTTAGCTGTTTGAAGATGAGCTCATGAAGAAGTCACTGTCTAAGAGAAAACAGGTTAAAATGCTTTGTTCAAGGGTTCTGTTGTGACATCCAAAGGCAGTTGTGTGACTCTAGGGTCAGATTGTTCCCACATTGAAAGAGTTCAAGAGATTAGTTTCTTGGTGACTGATATATGCGTTTACTTGTAAAATAATTTGATACTTTAGAATGAATGTTATTAATCATGCTAAATATGGTTATCCTATATAATAAAAGGCTAATATTCAAATTGACTGGACAGTAGACTGACTGATCACTATGACATGCACTGACCACCAGGGGGCAGATGCTCAATGCAGGAGCTCCCCCCTGGTGGTCAGTGCGCTCCCACAGGGGGAACACCACTCAGCCAGAAGCCAGGCTCATGGCTAGCTAGCGTAGCAGCAGTGGCAGGTGGCGGGAGCCTCTCCAGCCTCTGCGACAGCGCTAAGGATGTCTGACTACCATCAGTTGGACAACCCTCGAGGGCTCCCAGACTGCAAGAGGGCGCAGGCCCTGCTGAGAGACCTGCTCTCTCCCCTCACCCCCCCTCCAGTGAACAAATTTCATGCACCGGGCCTCTAGTCTAATTATAATTATCCATAGGGATTTCATTTTAACACAGCATTCACATTCTCTCATGAGAGCAGATTTTGATTTTAGCATATGTTTTAAATGTACTGGTTGAGGGTTTGATTTAGAAGATCATGAATATTCATTTTCATGTACTTACTGATTTGTTAAAACAATAAATGTACTTCTGTTGCATCAACATGTTCTTCTTTTTATTTAAACCTTGAGTCATCCAAAGCTCAAAACTTTGTGTTCACAGTTGATTCGTTGTTTTCCTTCATTCTGTATATCTAGCCAGTTCTTAAATCTTATCAGTTCTTCCCTAAGGATCCCCATATCCATCCTTCTTTTCTCTTTCTACAACTCTTATCCTAGTCCACTTCTGAAATCTTTCATTTGGAAAGGGCCTTTAGAGCAGCAGTTGCCAACCTTTCAGACCTCACAGACCACCATTGTCTGTGGACCACTGGTTGGCGACCGCTGCTTTAGAGATTATTTTGTCCAGTTAACTAACTCATTTACAAAGAATTGAGACTCAGAGAGACTGTCCAAGAACCAGAATTATGATCTGGAGTTTCTGATTCTAATTAGAGTTCTCCAGAATGGTCAGTAGGGCAGAATTCTAGTATCTAATAGTGATAGTGCAGTTAACATTTCTGTAGTACTTAGTCTATACCAAGCACTGTTCTAATCTTTAAATATATTAACTAATTTATCCTCAATAACTCTTACGAGATGATGCTAAAGAGTTGACATAGGGTAGTATGGGTGTGGTGGGTATAGTGTGCTTTTTTAAACAGTTTTAAAAGTATAATTAACCTATAATAAGTCTCATTTAAAGTATACAATTGATGACATTTTACATATGCATTCCCATGAAATTGACACAGTCGAGAAAATTAACAGAACATAGTGTTTTAAGATCTGGCTTTTAGTTGCTAATCTGTCATTGACTCCCTGTGTGACCTCAGGTAACTTATCTAACTTCCAAACCAAGGTTCTCTTCCATGTAAAAATGATCTTTGAATCTTTTCCAGACGGAAATATTTGATTCTTTGTAGGCCATCATTCCACCCATCCTAATGCTGTAATCTGTTGGAAAATTGTATCAAAAAAGTCATCTCCTCTTTCCAAGATGACTCTTGAGAGGGAGTCCACTCCATTTTTAGGATCAATAATTGCTACAAAGTTCTTCCTTTTATTAATTTAAAATATCTGCTTTTTTGCCACAATTGCTAGCTAGAGCTCCGGTCCAATATAGTGGCTACTAGCCACACGTGACTATTTAAAATAAAATGAAGTGAAATAAATGAATTAAAGACTTGAGTTCCTCAGTTTCACTAGCCACATTTCAAGTGCTCAGAGACCAGGTGGTGCTAATGGCTATCATTTTGGAGAGTGTAGCTATAAAATACGTCATCACCAATGACTTAGTGAACTGCACCGCTGTGGAGCAACGGAGATGGTGGGAATAGGTCTAGTCCTGCATGGCCAGCCCTCCAGTTACTTAAGGCCACTATCGTTATTACTTCATGTCTGAAAGATTGCACCTCCCCTGTAGGCTCTTTTTCGCCCTTTGTTCCTTGTCCATATACATCAGTACTGGATTGGTTTTCCTAGATAGCAATTTTATCATGCCATTTTTTTAATAGGAAAAATCTTCAATTATTCCCAGTTTTATTTGAGCCTTTCTGTTGCCTGCCATATTTGATATTTAGTAAAAATACATATGTATTTTTTTAATGCTTGCTGTGTTCCAGTCACTGTGCTAGGTGCTGGGGATGTCAGTGAACTCACTGGGATTGGTGCTAGAATATAGGAAGAAAAAGGCATAAAGAGGAAGGAATGAAGGAAAGGATGTGATTAGTCTAAACTTGAGAGATTAGCGAAGGCTTCACAAAGTGTTTGATGTTTAAACTGACTTTTTAAGAACCAGTGAGAATTTATTAGGTGGAGAAGTTGGACAAGGGTATACAGTATGTACAAAGAGACTTGGAGGGAGACTTGGAATGTCTGTGTTTGGGAATTGCAGGAGCAGATGTGAGGGGTTGTGTGTCAGGTTGAACTAGACCTTGGATGACTAGGACATTGGATTTCCATCTTGGTGGTGATAGCCATCAGAGGATTGCTAACTGTCTGCTCATCCCAAGCCTTTCCTCCTCCTCTCATCTCTCAAGGTCTCGCCGTCTCTCAAGACTTACCTCCCTCCCTGCCTCCCTCCCTCCCTCTCTCCCCTAGCTTCAAGGGTCCTTTTTTTTTTGCCTGGGTAACTCATTTCCTGAGCCCGTTCCTTCTACAGCTCACTTCTTCTACCTCTGTGTCTTTCTAAATAAACTTTCTCTTATAGTTTGAACAAAAAATTAACTTTGCAAGAGTTTCTGTGTTTGACTGTGTATCCTTCTCTTCTTAAACTGAAAGTCTTGTTCCTAACAACGATAACATAATTACTTGCTTTATTCTACATATTAAATGTTTTAATGGGGAAAGAATAGTCTTTTCAACAAATGGTGTTGGGGCTCCTGGGTAATTACATGCACAAGAATAAAATTGGACCCTTACCTTACATCATATACAAAAAGTTAAATCAAAATGGGTCAGATACCTGAATATAAGAGCTGAAACGATAAAACTTTCAGGAGAAAATATAGGGGTAAATCTTCATGATGTCAGATTTGGCAATGGGTTCTTAGATACCACATCAAAAGCTTGAGTAATGCCCTGGCTGGTTTGGCTCGGTGGATAGAGTGTTGACCTGTGAACTGGAGGATCCCGGGTCAAGGGCACGTGCCCGGGTTGTGGGCTCCATCCCCAGTAGGGGGCGGAGGAGGCAGCCAATCAATTATTCTTTCTCATCATTGACATTTCTATATCTCTCTCTCCTTCTCTGAAATCAATAAAAATATATTTTTAAAAAAGCTTGTGTAACAAAAGAAAAAAAATAATTTAGACTTTTTTTTAACTTTAAAGGGTGATGACTATAGACTTCTTTAAAATTAAAAAAAGCTTTTCTTTTGAATGATACGATCAAGAAAGTGAAAAGACAACTCACAGGATAGGAAGAAATATTTGCAAATGATATATCTGATAAGGGACTTATCTATAATACAGGGCGGGGAAGAGGTAATTTTACAGTTGTTTCTTCTGTTTCTTCTAGTTTAGGAACAGTCTGCTCTTTTTAGTAGGATCATCTCCATGCGTCAGGGAGAGCTCATGTACAGGTTAATCCACCCATAAGCTCTGTAAATTCTGCACCACATCTTGGGAGCTTTGTTCACTTGGATGTGCTCAATTACCAGAGAAGCTACATCCAAACCCTTAATTCAGCATTACTCTTTGCATTTTCAAGCGTGTGCAGCAAAAATTCAGCACTCTTTTTGGGTCACCATCCTATGTCCAGCCCCACTGTCTGGCCTGGGCACCCACCAGCTCCACCAGTGTAAGGACAGAATGGCATACATTGCTTCTGTAAAGGGACATCCTTCAGCTGTTTGGTGGCTTTTTGGATAGACATACCCTGAAGGAAGGCACTGGGCAGTTTCATCAGTGTTCTTAAAGTGAACACGAACATTTGAACCTCTTGATTTGCATGATTTTCTGGGGTTTTCTGGGTCAAATGAGTACTGGACCGTTTTCAGAGGTCACGTCAGGCTGCTTTTGGGAAGAGCTCTCCCTTTCTTTTAAGGGAGAAATTCTACACTCTTTACGAGGAAATTGTAAGCTGATCTCTTCATCAGACTTTTTGTATTGTTTAGCTCTTCATAGATTCATTTGTACTTTGTATCAACACCTTGTGTTGTCATATTTTTTTAATAGCAAGATGCAGACAAGCACTCTAAAACAAGAAGGAACAGGGTTATGAATCATGGTGCAGGCAAGCACTCTAAAACAAGAAAGAGCAGGCTATGAATCGTATCTTCTAGGATTGTTTGGAGTAAAGGAGGTAACGTTTGTAGTGTCTTTAGGTTTCTGCTTGGAACATACAAGTACTCAGCAAATTTTAGCTGTGAACTATTATATGAATTCCTTATCTTCCAGATTTAAAATTCTTTAAGAGCAGGGCTAATGTAATATATACTTCACATATTATGGACTCAACATTTTACTCATTAACATAATTTTATTCTCATCATAGTTTTTCATGTTTATCTTTTGTCTTGTAGTGATGAAGCTAGAACATCTGTTTGTAGATGATTCAGGTCGATATTTGGCTATTCAGTTCCATCTGGAATGTGCATATATATTTTTATATTATTATGAATATAAAAAAGCAAAAGATCAGTTCAGCATTGCTAAAGACATCAGCAAATTACAAATTGATTTGACAGGTAAGACTTATTTTTGTGGCTAATTGATTAATTTTTTTGATAAAACTAATATATACATTGGCAATTTGGCTATATTGTTTGGTTGTATTTGATTTTCTATGTCCTGTTCTTTGCTTTACAAAAATGGATTTTAAAGATTTTATTTTAAAAATTCATAGTTTTACAACAGACTTGAAATTATGTATATTTTTTATTCCTGAAGATGCCCATTTATTTCCTAATCTAGTTAGACACATGCTAGTAGTATAGAAGCCAGGCAGGACACAAAGGAAGTTTCAACTCCTCCCTCCTGATTCCCAAGTTTGGTTTGGCCTTCCTACATTGCCCTTCCTTGTAAATGCCCGTCTATGGTTTCTATCCTGCTTTTTTGGTATTCCTTAAGACCAAATTTTTGACTGTTGATTAGGTGTTTATTCAGTGCCTTACAACACTATCTGGCATAGAGTAGGCACTCAATAAACATTTGCTGAGTGAATAAGTAAATTACAGAATTTCTCCTAAAACCTCTGTGTTACTTCTGAATACCAAAAAAGAAACATTGGTTTCTTTTTATGTATCGCTCTGTCCCTAGTGTCTCACAATGTAATTGGCATTCAGTATTGAATACATTAATGATAGTCAGACATCATCACTCGACACACTATTTATACCTGTTGAACTTGGGCTCAGCATACCTGACAGTGACTCCCAATCTGTGAGTATTAAAATGATTGAACTTGTTATGTCCTCCGTAGGCTGGGTCTAGATTATCTCTAAGGTCCATTCTTAGCCTCCAAACTCTGTATTTCTTATTGAGCTACATAACAAAATCCTTCATGTATATTATGAGTTAAATATGACTTTGTGGCCTGTCTAGGATCCTAGCCATCTTTTATCACTGTTTGTGT